AAACAAATTATGGCTTTATTAACATTTACCCATAGCTCATATCGATTACAATACCTCTTATGTATTTTAAGCTGAAGGTAACAAACATTTAACGCCTGCGATTTACTTTAGGTCAAATAAACGTGTGTCCAAAGCCAACAGTAGTAAAACAGTTCATAGTACTAGTGACTTTACTTTGCAAACATGTGATTCTGGAATCAAGTGTTTGCCTTGTATGGAACCTTGATAACAAGACTCACATGGGGATTAAAAGACTTGTTATCAAGGTTGACTTCTTATTGAGGTTTGTAATAACACGTGATTAGGGGTAAAACAAATTCTAGGGTATTTGAAAATAACACTTACAATCAAGGGTGAATTGTTATCGAGGTTCTTCTTATCGAAGTTCCACTGTACTTTAGGTTTAGTAGATTTTAGTTTTAGAGATTGGAACCAATTTTTATATTGTAAAGTAATATTGATTAATTTTTAGACGTCTAAGTATTATCCGACGTTATACCTTATTACTGAAATGTATTAATATAGCACAGAGTTGTAAAATTGTGTACAAATAAAAATACAAAATTGAACAATATTGTCATGAAGGTATTTTTTCCTCATCCCACAATACTCCTACCTCATTCCTAATTCTTCTAGTCATGCAAGTTTACCGTGATTGTCAGTCATATCTGAGATTCCTTTGTTATTCTGCGATAAGATGTTTCACAAAATGGCTGCTCCTTAATCTGGCACGAATTTTTTCGTAAAAATTTATTTCTTGGAAGATTATAGGTTTCGGTATTGGTAATTGAATAACTTATAAGTTTGTATTTAGTAACAACCAAGTGTATTGCGAAACTATTTACGGACAGTTATGGTTATTCAATTATAGATTATAGGGAAGGGAGAAAATTTTACCTTAACGCGTTCTTTAATTTATTTTTTGACTTGTTTCTTTAGTTTCAATAATGTGTTTGCAATCTTCTCTGATGTTTATAATAAAATATATTTTCCTACAGTCACCCGACAAAGTTGGCTTCCTTGTACTGTTTATAGTACAGAAAGTTGCTAATTGCTGCATATTTATACTTTACCGTACGGTTTATACTTTGTCGTACGGTTTATACTTTGCCGCACATCAGGATTCCAACGAAACAACACAAAACAGCGTGGTTCTATTATGCACGTAATCCGTGTACGCTTGGAAATAGGTTGGCAACACTTAAAGATAATAATACTATGAGCAGCTGATTGACTATTAAAACTACGATTTAACCTGTCATTTCGTGTTTATAGTTTATGTTGTCTTTTCGGTATTTCTGAACTTTCTGGACTTTTCTTTTAAACATTTTAAACACATTCCTACGATCTTAATAAACAAGAAAATACTTTTAAAACTATATTTTAGGCGCGGAAACCAATTCAAATTACAAAAACATACGGAACTATATTCTCAAAACGCGGAGCACATTTCTTGCCGAGGAAAAATAGCGGAGTGATACGGACCGCGGGTACTACTTTCTCTAGGGCACCATTTGTGTTGCCAGCTTAACCTGTTGTATAGTGTTTGAAAGACTAATTATTTATATGCTTTATAGTGACTGTAGGAAAAATATAATGTGTAACACGAGTAAAAAAGGCCTTTGCTGCACTCGAGATCATTCCGCACTCGCCTGCGGCTCGTGCAAAAACATTGCTCTCGTGTGCAGCAAAGTGCCACTTTCACCACTAGTTACACAAATAACTATTTAAGGTTGTAAATTCCTCCCTAAAAAGGGATTCTATGAGTCGTTTTTGTTTGTTTTACTCAAATATAAAACACGTAATACGTTAAAAACGACGTAATACGTAAGCATTTTCAAAGGAGGCCAAAAATATTTGCGACCTTTGTTGCATGTAGGTAACCCGTTGACAGGAAATGTGGTTAAGAATTGCTGCGTTTGACAGGGGTTAAAATCAATTTGATATAACTATTTTTGCTCTCTTTACGCCACCGCCCCTTCAATGTCAAAATTTCTTAAATATACATGTATAGCTGTAAGGCTTTATCTAACATTAGACTCGGTGTCATTATAGTTTTTTTATTTATTTATTTTTTATTTTAAATTCGTTGAATAGTAAAAATATACTAACCCATTTACTGACTGACATCTATACTTATTTTCTTGATCACAAATATATAGAATACATTATACAATTTAAATGCATTAAGAAAGTGTATCGATAATGATTTAACTTTTATTGTGATGAATAATCCTCAATCTATTTTATTTTCTATAATAAAAAACTGTTCACAAAAGATGGGTTCTTTTTCAGAAGTGGGCCACCACTATTTAAACCGTAGAAAATCCACAGTTTAGGTTTGGTGTTATTTTTTAGTTTTTGTGATTATTTTTGTACATTAAATAATACGTGTGAGTAAAGCTATAACCTAACCTAAACTGTGGTTATTTCAGATTTTAAAAAGAGGCGACTCTCTTCTAAAAAATACCCATAACATGTACTACAGTATTTTTAGGATGACACATTTTATCATGTTTAACAAGCTTATTAGTTGAAGTTAAAACACTTTGTCAAATAAAAACACATATTTTCAGATAGCCTCGTAAGTCAAACAAACTTTTCTAAGTAATTTTTATGATAAAAATAAATTTGCAAACTAAAATCTTTACATAAGGCCTAAAACATTTTGAGACCTCTTCTTATAAGAATTATGATGAAACATTGAACAATATTATGCATTATTTTTTTATATCGGCTGATGGATTTCGCCTCAAGAAACAATTTTTTTTATTATTGGCTACCTTTTTACAGAAAACAATATTATGTTCTGTATATTTATTCTGTCGAAGGAAAACATAAAGGAAAAACAGAGTAATTATTTTTGAATCATTTGAGAGTACGCCTTCTTATAAGGTAAAAGAAAACACTCTATATTGTTAATGTGTGGCTTTCAAATTATTTAATTAAATACTTTCTATTTATTTGATAGATGACCAAAAACTGAACCAAATATTGTGTACACTACTTTACGTACGACGGTGTTTTAATCACTAAAAATCACTACTCATAACTTCTAAGAGAGGTTATGTTTTTGTTTATAACCTCTAATTGCCACTGACAGTGATGCAACGAAGCAGTGTATCAAATACTAATTGCACCAATCAACAATTAAATTGGCCTGAACAGCTGATTAGTTGAATTTCGAATCATTACAATTTTACTTCTCCTCTCTCAATCCTTGAAACTCATTGGTCCGTTACCCTTGTTGTTATGAGTAAAACTATGCTGTTATGACAGTAAACAATGCTGTTATTATGAGATACTTTTCAATTCTAAGAACTGTACTGAAACAGCTATTTTAAAAAACGGTCGTAGGTAAAGACTTTTTCAACACCCTGTATATTTTATTTAATATAAAATATCATCATAATTCATGTATTTAATAGAAGAACATTTCATTTAGTAATCTTTTGATACGTAAATGTTCATCGTGAATTATTTAATCGAACAAGAAAAGAATATTTAATTTGCTAATAGCATTGCGAGAGGATTCTCAAGATGAGATTGAATTAAGGCTAGCAATTCCATAAATAAGATTGCTAAGTGCAACGCTGCACAAGAAAATTACCATTAATCGTGATTTCAACTAATAAACTGTATTTTCACAGTAGTATACTTTAGAAGACAGTCGTAGTTTAACGAACATAAAAACCTTGAAGGAAATTGTTTGCACATCTAGTTAAAGACCGAAACTGACACCAGTGTCTGGATATTCAGGGGGTTTGAAATAACTTTTAAAGCCGTTTGTAAAATAGAGTCAATATGATTTTTTTATACCAAACAGTAATTTAATGGTGTCCTTAACCATAGACAAAAATATAACTAAATAAAGACCGACAGCAGTGCTGCGGTTAGCACTGCGGTTCTGGGGTCCTGTGCTTGGATCGCCGTGTAGTTGAGGCACACGCGCTACGTAACTACACGGCACTCCTAGGGGTGGACGCCAGAACTTATGCTAACCGCAGCATTGTTGTCGGTATATTTGTCTATGTTTCAGCTTAAGTTAATTTGGAATAAAATGACGTTCATAACACAGTAACTAAAAGGTTATGTTAAAACTTAATACTTGATAAACATTGTCCTTGAATACAAAAATGTATTCAATGGGTAATTATAAAAAGGGGGTTACCCCTTTGCAAAATAACACTCTCCAACCATTTTAGGTTACATAAAATGTTATGTAATTTCAAACTTGTTGAATTTATGAGTCAGCTTACTCTATGAGAGAAAATGTGAAGTTAAGAAGATGCCTGATTTGACAAAGCAAAGTGTATGTTTTAAGTTTCAAAGGGTTTATGTTCGAAAATCTCCAATTCATTTAACAAAACTTTAAACCATTTTCATTGTTAAACTACACAAACATAAATCATCGTTTATTGTAACACGACAAAGATTGACGTAAATTGAAAATGATCGTTCAACGATACATTGTACATACACTTTGCAGAATTCTCTCTGAATCAGGTGAAAAAATAATATTAGGCCTAAATTGTAATTTATAAAACAGACAATTTGTCACCCGAATTTTAAAGTTATTAAAACAAGTAATGGCTTTTTATGAGTTGTTAAGTGCATTGAAAAAGTATTTTATATCTTGGGTTCATAGGAAATTTAATAAACTCTCAGACTATATTCAGGGTCTGAAAACACAACTTGACACTTTTAACAAACCGGATTAACAATAACATTACCTAAATTATTGTATTGCTTAATCAATAAGCAACAAAAAGTACGAGTATATTTTTATTTTTGCTTCAAAATGTTTAATGAAGTTTGCAGCCTAAAATAAATGACTTGAAAATACCTTAAAATAGCTTAAGAATAACAAAGTTAAATCAACTAAAATGGCAATGATTAAGTCGTGAGAAATCTGGTGGGTGGATGGGACTGCGTTGGTGGTTGGGGGTGAATTTCCTCCCCAAAACAAAACTAACCTTAACTCTCAGTCCGCCGTGTGCGTTCGTATACGATACACTGACACTCAATACTTCTAATTAAAATATCACGTATTTTATCTAGTTTTGATAGTTTGTGCTTCAAAAAGGTCGGAGTTTCTATTAATGGTAATAGTTCCTAAGACTAATTTGGTGTTATAAAATAGGTGTAGGATTAATATAAGTAATAAATAAGGTATGAAACTAATGAGAGTGTAAATGATCAACGTCATTATAATTTTCAATTCGTTAAATATAAAGTTGAAGGAATTACTTGACAATCGAAATCAAATATTCAGAAACTTTTATAACACTTACAAAATGTTTATTGCTACACAATATGACGTCATTTCTAATTTGTTTTTAACTTAAAACGTTCACATTTTGCATTTTGTAGTTTCACTTTAGTCAAATGAAAATTTGGTATCCATTACCAAACATCAAATCCCGTGTTAGAAGGAATCTATATGGCGTTGATTACCTGAGTATTCCGTAGGGTGTCGGTCCGCCCCATCGAGTTGGACTAGTAAATTGTGAACTAGAAGATTTGTAACACTACAGTTATTCTAAAGTTTGAAGAAATTAAATATAGTATATAGTAGTTGATTGTGTATCCCTCAATAAGCATTTATAACTGACTGCAATTCTCTTACTTCCCGTATGCTGTCAATTAGTATTTTTAAATTATTTTAGGATTTGTAAAATTTACACGGATAAATAGAACTGTTGGTTATTTTACTGGGTAAAATACAATAAATAAATTCTCATAATACGTAATTTTAAAGTATATAACCTACCAGTTCAAGTCTAGTATTTATTAAACTAAATATCCTTTTCAGCCATATAACACCGTATAAAGTTTTGTAAACATCTAAGCATCCTCTAGATTTTATATTTTCTTAGAAATCCATTAAAATTATGTAATTATGTATGAAAACTATGGAAGGTTTATTATCCAGCCGTCAAGACCATATTTCTTCGGTTAAAATTTAAATGGACTGCAAAGTAATTTATTTCTGACGTTATTTCGTAAACAATAGTGAAATTAACAAATTCAGTACTAATAAAGAAAGTGCAAGCCAAAATAAAATACAAGGAAACGTTCAATTTAAAAAATTATAAAAATCCAATTATATTCTACACCGTTGAGGAAAAAGTTAATTACTTAGAGAGTAATTTCAACATTTATTCAGCTTGAAAAATAATCCAAACTGCTGTACACTTGAAGCTATTATTTCTTCTAAGTAATTTTAATTACTAGATATTATAATCTAAGAGTTTAATCTTCAACTAGATTTAAATAATTTTGTCCGGTAACATTTCATTCAAATGAGATTAATTGTGGATTAAAATGAGTTTAAGATGATTAATACACAGCTGTATTTAATTATTTATCATAGCCACAAAATATACTATACAAGCCCTTATAAGAATAGTACAACAAGGCGAATCATAAAAAATCATTAGGTAAAGCACTGGTTTTAATTTAAAATACCCCCGCCGCAGCAAATCTGCAGACTAAGCGAATTTCCATTTACCTGGCTGGATTTCCACTAAAATACTAAATTTTGGCCTCTGGGGACGTAAAAAAAGTAAATTGGTCCCGGGTCCAGGTCTTACCATGGTCTTACTATGGTAATAGCTTATTCCCTATATGGGAAATTAAAACTAGTAAATATTTTGAGTTTTTGCTTGTTGACGAAAAAAATGGAATTTTCATATTTACTACGTTGATTTCAACGCTTTACTAAAAACAGTTGAAAAAGCAGTAAAACAAGTAATTTTACTAGAAAACTAATAGGCCCTCTAACAATATTATTAAAACACAACTACAAAGTGAGCCTAATGTCAATTTTTGAATAATGCAGCTTTAGGAACTCGATAAAATATATATATACAAAATAAATATAAATATGTATACAATCGATAAAAATATTCGTCAAAAAAATTTATCTTGAGTTTTTGATTGGCGTTCTCCTTCGATATTAACATATTTTTCAATAAAATAGTTACATCAATTAATTAAGTACATAACAACACTTTTAATTTTATAAACTTTGTTTTATTTATAATTAAACGACAAAAAAAACAATATGCAACTCCTAGAAGAGTGAAAATCCTCCACCCCACAAGTTTTGCTTTGATGTTGGTATTTTTATAGGGATAAGCTAAACAAACAAGTAAAATAATAATTGTCATCATAGTCTAAGTCGTGTTTTGTGGATAAGAAATCATATACATTAGCAAAATTTCAGATATAAGCTTATTTCGTTTAAAAAATTCTAGGCCTAATATAATTTTGTTTAAAATCTCTAGCCTTCATAAATTATTTGATATTTTGTAATATTACTTACACCTTTAACTAATTGATAGATTAACGGTGAAAAAATATACCATGTGTGTTACTGATTAAAGTTCTAGGATTGACCATTGATTGAAGCAGGAAGTGATTAGGTAGTAAACGAATAAGCGAAGTTTCAGTGAAACCCCTTACTGTATTAATAATATACATATTTGTAAATTAAATTAATTCAAAGAATACACCTTGTTTTACTGATTTAAATTTAGAATAAATTTATAGTAGCAAGAAAATAATTTCATTGCTAACATGGGACGAATTCCACCCACAAACACAACTCAATAAGAGTTTACACGTGTAAAACCGTTGTATATTAACTCACTAACTTGAGACATTTTTAAATATATTTAAATATATTTAAATTACAAAATCGATTTTTTCATACCGCAGAAAAAATAGCCGTTTATTAAACGTGCATTGTGGGTGTAAATTATAAAATTTACCTCCTAGGTAGTAAAAAGCCCTTTAGTCCATAGGGAGTTAAAATCTGCTGATAGGGAGTCTCATAACTTAGTTTGTTAATTAATAATGCAGCATGACGAAAAATATAGTTCATCACGTGGGCAAAAGGTGTATTTTCATCCCTCGCTCATTTTCCGACCTTGGCTTCGCCTCAAACGTAACTTAAGCTTGAGTGCAGAGAGGACTTTACGGCCTAGCGATGAAATATACTATTTTGTATTCAAAGTTAGTTTAAGGCATCTTCGAAACGTTGGCACTGTTTCAACTTTGAGTTTCTATAAAATAAGAAGGTCGAGTGGCTTAGGAGAATAGAGAGCAACAAGCCTCTTAGTAACCAGAGCAATCTTGCACACAAAGTAGATTTAGTCTTCAACCTTCTCAATCACTACTTTTCTTTAATGTCAAGAGCTTTTGAAGGTCGTTTATGTTTTGGTCTGGTTAAAAAAAAAATGATCCAAGTAGATTTTTGATTTGGTAAGTAGAAAGTTTGTATGATTAGAAGGGAGTGCTAAGCTAATCATGACTCAAAAGTAACTGTGTTATCAAGACTTCTGACAATCATAAAGCTCTCGAGCTACGATAACATTTGCTAAAAGGAAACACATCCAGTGTTTTAACACTTATTCAATGTGATACACAATTGTATTCTTTGTCATCATGCTTGAAACAAAAACTTATTTAAACTTTGGGTTGTGTGAACTTAAAATAACACAGTTTCAGGATTTCCAACGATAAAACCCTTTAAATAAAGAAATGATGTAAATGTAAAATCCTACATGATTAAATGGAAAGTGGACCTTAACTTACAATGTTAAACTGCTCGAAATTTATTTCAAGTTTAGTCCTTGATACCATTGTTACACCAAAATAAAATGAGAATTTATGACTGAATGCGGTCTAAACTTGTGAAACATGTTACCCTATTGTTGTAACTAGCAATAAAACGTATTAACACGTACATGAAACGACCACAGTGAGTTGAAACCGTGAGTAAAGAACATTATACATAGACATTATACATTGTACATTATAATACATTTTAACATTATACATAAAGAATATTATATATAACTTTTTACAAGGATTTATACTTAAGAGTTATTCTTTATATTTGATATAAAATCAGCCATGACAACTGAGGAATACAAAATAGGCTTTTACAGTTTTTTTTATAACATCGGTCTAGTCCAAATGCAAATTTGTCAAACCAAACATTTTAACTAGAGTTTTGAGATGTTCTTTTCAGTCTGTGCTACAAGTGTGCTACAAATGCACACTTAAATGCACGTTTTAAATGTGATATACGACCTACCTTAAGGTTTACAGTAGGTCCTCTATATGTGACTCGTGTCCAAATCTTTCGAAAGAGGTTATTCGACATGAACATTTTTTCCTAAATTTAGATTCATTTAAATGAATGAATTATTTAACAAGGGAAATTCAGCAGAAGTACTTTTTGTAACTAAACATATAAATTAACTTGATTGCAAATTCAATGCATCATGATCGATGACAAACCACTTTATTTTTTTATTTACCATGAAAATAAAAGTGGTGTTTCGTCGGGACGTAAAACAAAAAAAATAAAGCGAAAACGGGCTTTGCAATACAGCATATATACAATAATATACTCTTTGTTCACTTCTAGCATTCAAAACTAATGTTCAATAATATATATATATATATATACAGGGTGACAAAAAAGTCTGGAAACGGCTTGATATCTTTTTAACTAAATTCGTTAGAAAATTCAAACCTTTCACATCAACTTATATGCATGAAAACTACTTTTTGCAAGTATTACCATTTTTTTACCTTCACCAGGGGACGGCCCATGAGGAGCAGGTACATAATCTTTAAAGTAAGCATAGGTTGATATGCACATCATTTTAAAGGTCTGGTGTAGTGGAGTTCATTGCCGGAAACCGCGTCAAAAAAGGTTCATTCGTTACAAAATGGCGGCATTTCAAAGTTCTTGCGGAATATACCTGCACAGGCCTTAGTAATGGTAAATACTCATAGTCAAAATTATCCGGGAAATCTGAAACCCGGTTAAATTTGTTTTGAAGATTGAATAAACTTAGTATATGGGCTAGTTGACTTTAAAATACAGTTTCTGCTCTCAAGATAATGTTTAATACGAGTATTTACCAATATTAAGGCCTGTAAAGGTATATTCCACAAGAACTTTGAAATGCCGCCATTTTGTAACGAATGAACTTTTTGAGATGCGGTTTCCGGCAATGAACTCCACTTGACCAGGCCTTAAAAATGATGTGCATATCAACCTATGCTTACATTAAAGATT